GAAGGGAGGTGGAACACATGCAGCTATTTCAGAATGAAATATATGCAAAAGCGATTGACTAGGTGGTACAAGGGCCAAAAGCAGGAAAGGTTAGAGTGGTTAGGGTTAAAGGACTATAGTAACCTAAGTAAGAGACAAGGTCACAGCACAGTTCATGTAAAGCTTTGTAAACCATTCTGAAAGTTTGGATATAATGTCTGTGAATAGGTTCTCTTGGAAGATTTTAACCAGGATTATAGCTTTATTTCAAAGTAGAAACTGGTAGGTCAGTAAGCCAGTAGGACTTTGTAAAATGTATGAGAGAGTAATTTGGATCTGGAGGGTAATGGAGATGTCAATGTTGTTTCTATATATTGTTTTCAAATGGTGAGGAACAAATGACAAAGCTTTTTAGATAGATCAACCTACACATAGTAAAATAACTATCGCTATTATGTGTGGTTCATAAATTTAAATATTAGAAATAAATGAAAAGTGTACAGCACAGAGTATGGTGGCTGGAAGACATGAAGACAGTCCATTGTGGTGTGTAAATACTTTGGAGAGTTTTCAAGACAGATTTGCTGAAAACCTAATACTGTTTTAGGACAGTACACACTATATTACCGAAATGATTTTGAATTTATTTTAATTGATAATAAATCTTTTCCTTTATAATACCTTTTCAATTTGATTTTGAAAATGAGTAGTATACAGTGAGTTGGTGTAGTGAGTGTGCCTGATTCTATTAATCACGACCTAGTGGAAATTCAGGTCACAGATTTTGCATGTCAGTTCCCAAAGCTTGTGTTACATTTTGTTGTGAACTTAGGCCTACTCACGGGCAGGCAGAATTCAGGAAGTCTGACCAGCACTTGGCAAGAAGTAAGACTGTACCAACCACGAAAAAATCAAGAATTAGAAAAAAAAAATGTCATTGTTTGAGGGGGTATGACAAGAGGAAGTGGAAAGTTTTCATTATGCCGATATCCAACTCAAGGAATCTCACACGGTGAGAGATGCCGTGATGAAGGCAAGCTGTATGCTCAGCTCCAAGTCTCAGCAATAAGCAAGCAAGCAAACAAAACAAGAGGAGGGCGCATTTTTCCAAACAGGTTAAACTGGATACCAAGGCTGAAGGCAGACTTAAATCTCCCTTTGGTGTCTCCTACCTAGTTCAGACATGCTTGACTTGGATGAAACTTGTCCTGACAGCAATTTTGAGGAAGGTGACAGATTCAGATCCTGGGATTGATGACTAATTCTTGTGATTCCAGCAACAGGAACACAGAGATTCAGTCAAAGTCAAGATTAAGGATTGTTTAAATGTTCGCACTCAGCCTTCTGCCTAGACAGCTGCATTTAATCTATTCTAAGTAATTTTTCTTTAGGGACGACTTCCTTTTTGATTAAAGCTAAGAGAATACAGTTTCTTGCCTTTAAAATTCTATATTTAGATGACTTCCTTATTGTAATGTTCCCCCTTTTACTCTCAGCAGTAATGCATACATTTTTATTAATCATATAATCACTAAATGGAAGACTTGAGAGACTAAATATAATCTATAATGTTTGGTTGTTGTAGGTTTTTCTTGTAGTAGGGCATGTGTGCTCACTGGATAGAGATAGAGAAGAAAAGTGAGAAATCACCTGAGGGGGCTGGGCCATACCACAGATCCCTCCTCCCCTATCCCCTTCTCAGAATTTTGGTCACACACAAACACACACACACACACACGACACACACACACACACACACACACATGCCTGGCATGTTTTCAAGTCACTGTATATGAGACTTGAACTATGTAGTTGGCCATGTAAGATCCAGTCACTTTAACTTCCAAGCTACCTGTTGTCCTTATAATCAATACTTTTTTTTTGGAGAGGTTTTTGCTATAGGGCACGTGCGCTCACCAGACAGACAGAAGGAGACATAGAGACAGAAAGTGAGAAATCACCCCCCAGGGGGGATTGGCCACGCCACAATCCCTTCTCCTCCATTCTCCTCTCGGGATCTTGGGCACACACACACATGCACCTGGCGTGAGTTTAAAGCCCCTGGTCTGGGACGCGAACCACAGTCGACTACATGGGGGTCCAGCGACATAGCCATTACACTAACTGCTGGTCCCCCTATTATCAATAATTTTAACCAACAATGACCACTACATTATTTTCCCTCATGTATTGTCTGTTTAACTTATGAAAATATTTAATTTATAAAAGTAATATTTACCAATTTTTTTTCTCCTTTAGAAGAAACTTTTGATATAGGGGACATTCACTTTTCAGAGAGAAAGGAGAGACAGAGAGACAGAAAGTGAGAAATTACCCCCCCAAGGGATTTGACCATGCTGCAATCCCTTCTTCTCCATTCTCCTCTTCTGATTTTGGGCACACGCACACACGTTGGCATGAGTTTTAAGCTACTGGATCTGGGACTCAAATTGTGGTCTACTATATGGGAATCCAGTGATGTAACCATTATGCCACCTGCTGTTCCCACCCCCAAAATTTATTTTTCAATTTTATTTATATACATGTATGCATATTAATAAATGTTTATGTTTATGGTAAACTATACTTCGCACAAACATGAAATAATTAACATTAACTCAAAAAGTTTATAAAATTCTTGGGACCAGCAGTTAGCATAATGGCTATGTCAGCGGACTCCCATGTAGTCAACTGCGGTTCGAGTCCCGGACCCAGTGGCTTAAAACTCACGCCAGGCTGTATGCATGTGTGCCCAAGATCCCGAGAGGAGAATGGAGGAATAGGGATTGTGGTGTGGCCATCCCCTCAGGGGTGATTTCTCACTTTCTGTCTCTCTGCCTCTGTCTGTTTTGTGAGCGCACATGCCCAATGGCAAAAACCTCTCCCCACACACACAAAAAAAGTTTATAAAATTCTTGGCACAACAAATGCCACTTTTGGGTCAGCTGGGAGTGTAATGATTAAGAACATCAAGATTCCAAGTGACCAATAGTGCAATTTGAGCACTGAACCCACTGACTTGAAAAACGGACCACGTGCATATGTGTGAGATAAATTAGAGGAGAAGGTATTGTAGCATAACTGTTCCAGATGTGGAGGCTGATTTTCTCTCTCTCTCTCTCTCTCTCCCTCCTCTCCACTCCCCAGCAAGCACACATGCCCTTTGGCAACAACTAAAAAAAAGTCATCTTTTGTTTGATCTAATGCCTCTCCTTATATGGAAAATTTACTTATTATATATTTAAAAATTTTATCCTAACTCAGGTTTTCTGTCATAAAAGACTTCACAGTTAAGGAATTGAAAAATCACTTTTTGAATTTAATCCTATAAAGAAAAAGTCCTTAATCTTATAAAGAAAAATTTATAAAGTCCAAACTAATACACAGAGGCTCAAAATCACAACATTGCTACTTGAGAGAGTTGGAACTCAAATCTAATTAAAAAAAAAAAAGACAACCCCCCCCACAAAAAAAAACTATGTTATTTCCATTGTAATAATTTACTCATAAGCAGGGACTACAAAACCCAGCCATGTGGGATATGGTTGCCCTAATCACCAGACTAAGAGGGAAGTTGAGACACAAAGATTTTTGCTTGGTGTTATACTACTAGGTCATAGTTGTGAAGTCGATAAGACTAAAAACTATATCTGTATATTCACGGTTAGGTTTTTTCTAAATAAAGTGATATACTATATTGTGTGTTTTTCCTAATTATTATTATTATAGAGTTCTAATATAGATCCCCCAAATTAACAAGGAATCATAGGAACTCATCAATTTTTAAATGAATTATTAATTATAATTGACTTAATTTTTCCAGTTCAATAAAATTGAAAATGTGGACACATTAGAAAAAATCATTAAACTATGATGTTGCCATTTCAACTTAGACTTCACACCTGCTTCTAAAAATATTTTATCAAATAAATTATTATGACTAAGATAAGATCAAAATCAAATGATGCAAGAACCATTGATATCATTAAGTTTTAATGACATTATGTTTGACATGGCATGTCAAACCCTGTTCGGGATAGTGCTCTCTTTCTCTTGTTCATGGAAGAAATAAACTTAAAACAATAAAAAAAACGAAATAAGTTTATGTGAATGAGACATTTACATGACATGTATTTTTGTGAGTTTTGATGGCACATAAAGTCTTGCTGTTAATGTGGGATATTACAGAAATAGTTCTACCTATGTAAAAATTTTTAAACAATTGGGAACCAGCAGTTAGCGTAATGGCTATGTTGCTGGACTCCCATGTAGTTGACCGTGGTTGGCGTCCCAGACTCGATGACTTAAAACTCACACCGGGTGCATGTGCGTGCATGCCCAAGATCCCGAGAGGAGAATGGAGGAGAAGGGATTGCGGCATGACCATCCCCACTGGGGGGGGATTTCCGCTTTCTGTCTCTATGCCTCTCTCTGTCTGTCTGGCGAGCGCATGCGCCCTATAGCGAAAACCTCTCCAAAAAAAAAAAAAAAAAAATTTAAACAATAGATATTTTTGTCAGATTATTAATAGTAAATTTAGTTCAGTTTTGTTTAAGTAATTGGCTAGGTTGAATGTTTTTATATTAATGATATTGAAATTATATGCTGAGGGGATCAAATGATAAAACATGCTCTGTGAAGCAGTCCCATAAGGGAAGGTTCTTGGTTCAAGTCTGGAACCTCCCTGAGAATACTGGGCATTTGCTTGCCCATGATCCCAAGGTGACTGGGATGGAGATGAAGCATGGAATGTCAAATCCTGTTTAGGGTAGTGTTCTCTTTCTCTTGTTCGTGGAAGGAATAAATAAACTTAAAACAATTTAAAAAATGAAATAAGGTTATGTGATGAAACATTTGCATGACTTGTATTTTTGTGAGTTTTGATGGCACATATTAAATAGTTGAAATTAGAACTATTACGGCTTCTTTTTGTACTCAAGTGTTACTATTGTTTACAGTAATTAATAGATAATTTATCTTAAATATAAGGTCTATACATGTTTGATTATAATGTTTTCCAGATGCTCCCAAATTCATATCAAATCAAACAATTTATTATTCTTGGGAAGGAAATCCAATCAATATAAGTTGTGATGTGAAATCAAATCCACCAGCATCAATCCACTGGAGAAGAGAGAAATTGGTCTTACCAGCTAAAAATACCACCAATATAAAGACATACAGTGCAGGAAGGAAGATGATATTAGAGGTAAGTTTTCATGGATGCATCAATGCATTTTATTATTTTACAATTACTTACGATTTTAGAATATTTGTAAATATAGTCATATACAAATATGTGTTTGAGACCAGCAGGTGGAGTGGTCATTAAGGTACTGGATTCACACCTTGCCAACCACCATCAGACCTGGCAGCTTGAAAATCATGCTAGGTGTATATGTGGGCATGCCCAAAATCCAGAGAGGAGAAAGAAGAGATTGCAGTGTGGCCATCCCCTCAGGGGTTGAGTTCTCACTTTCCCTCTCTCCGTGTCTCTCTGTGTCTCTCTCTGGAAAGCACATGCACCTTTATGCCAAAAACCTAATAGCTATCCTTATCTATCTATCTGTCTATCTATCTATCTATCTATCTATCTATCTATCTATCTATCTATCATCTATCTATCTATCATCTATCTATCTATCATCTATCTATCATCTATCTATCTATCTATCATCTATCTATCTATGTATCTATCATCTATCTATCATCTATCTATCTATTGTCTGTCTATTATCTATCGTCTATCTATCATCTATCTATCTACCTATCTATCATCTATCTATCATCTATCTATATCTATCTATCTCTGTATCATCTATATCCTTATCTATGTTGAATGCATACATGTTTATATGTGTGTGTATCTTATATTTATTTATTTCAATATCAATTTGAAGTATCTGGATCATGGTCCATTAATGATATATCTCGGTATTAAATTACATACAAATACAAATGTATAGCAAAGCAATTATTTTCCTGAATTTACTTTAGAAAAAAAAAAACAAGTATGTCCCATAGAAAAACATAGGGAGAGGAAGTTAATGATTTGGCTGTTATTGAGGGCCAAAAGTTCAGGATCAGTGTTGATGTTTTTGTAGAGTCTATGCTTATAACTCAATATTCATCAAACTGGCTTATTTAAATGCTGTCTGCTGGATATATATTTACTATTCCTGTCTAAGTTCCTAAATACACCAAATTTATATGTTCACTGTCTAACTTTATTTTATGTCTAAGATTAAGATTTCAGATCATTGTTTCTAAATTGCCAAGGGACTAGACTTTAAAAACGGTTCAAATAGAATGCCTTTGCGTTATTCATTGCAGATTGTGTATTCTTGTATGTGTACAGTAGTAACCAGTTTGCACAACTCTGTGAAAATGATCATCAGCCTTCTGATTTATGATGCTATTAGAACAGATGGAGATCTCCATGTGACCTTAGTGAGCTGAAAAACTGCTACATGTTTTTCCACTAATTTAGTTTAGGAAAATTAGAAGAAATACATGTTTTAGAAAAAACACTTGATGTTCAAACTGCATTAACTTAAGGTCTTATCATTGGTGCCAGACTATTTATTTTACCTAGTAATTGAACTTATTCAAATGTTTGGGTGATAGAATAATTTGGCCACTGCATTCCCAAATATTTGGAGATCGGACTGTTCAGTAATTAAGCCATGTTGTCCAAACCTATTGCAACTTAAATCAGTATCTTTGAAATTGTTTCAGAACTCACTATTGGTAGATTGACAAGATTTTAATTTTACATAAACATTTGAACAGATTTAAACAAAATTTGAAGTTCTTTTACCTTAGTAAAGCTGAGGTTATATTTATCTTCGGTTTCGAGTAGTGTATGATTCTTCTTGGCTGCAGTGATAAAGTATCATAGACTGGATGACTTAACCAAAATAAATTTATTTTCTCAGTTGTGGAGGCTTTAAGTTTAAGACCACAGTGCCAACAGGATAGGTATCTGGAGAGGAATGTTTTGTTCATTTGTGGATGACCACCTTTCTGCTTTGTCTCCATGTACCCTTTGCTATGTGTCACAGAGAAAGAGAAAGAGAACGTTGGTATCTATTCCTTTTTTTTTCTTTAGCCTTTATTCTTTGTTTTTATTTTATTTTGTTTTTGCTCTAGGATGTGTGTGATCCCTAGAGAAAGATAGAAATAGAGAGGGAGAGAGAGAAAGTGAGAAATCACCCCCAGGAAGGATGACTATACCACAATTGATTTTCCTCTCAGAAATTTGGGCATTTATGCACGCGCAGCCAAAGCGATTTTCAGGTCACCTGGTTCAGGACTCAAACAGCTACGTGGAATCCATTCTTAACCTCCATGACACTTACTGGTCCTCTATTACTCTTTTTATAAGGACGCATATCCTATTGAATAGGTCCCACCTTACAGCTTCATTTAACCTTCATTTGTAGCTCGCTTACCAAGTACTGAAGCTAGGTTTTAATATATAAATTTTGAGGGGACACAGTTCAGTCCATAACTGGAAGATTTAAGTATGAAATGTTATTTAAGTATGAAATAGCAGATTAATGTCTAATTTCTGCTTCACTTCATCTTGACATTTTTGAATTTCTGGGATGACTCATAATTCGCCATAGTTAATGTCAAGAAATACTTTAAACACATGACATTTCAATATTAGATTTATATAAAGATCTCACTGCGCTATTTAAACTTTTGCGAAATTGTCGTTCCTACCCACCCAAAAGTGAAGATAACATTTGCTTACTTTACACATAGTGAGGTGACTTGTTGCTCAAAGCATAGACTTTTTACATGTGTACCTGTTTTCAACACTAAATTTAAATTCTGAATAAAAACTACAGATTTGTAAGTAACCCAACCTGAAAAAAAATTAATAAAAAGCAACAAGTGTCATTGTTACTTTCAAATTAGTACCATATGCTGGGATAATAGTTATTGTTTTGTTTAATACTTTTAATAGTTGCATGCATGCTAATTACTAAGAACATAAGATACAGAAAAAATATAGTTTTCACTTAAAACAAATTGGTTAGTAATATATTAATTTAATTTATTTTAAGTTTTATTTTGATTAAATACATAGATATTTTTTCAAACTTTTAAATCTATGAATTTTAAAATATAACCAAATAATTTGCTAGTAATTTTGGACTGATAACTGCATCTTTAAAATTCACCTTTTTTTTTTTCAATCTTAGTATCACCTTTGACGATAGTGCGAATTTTCAATATACGGATAAAAATTAACTACAGGAAGTTTCATAGACTGATTGGAGTGAATTTCTTTTTAAGATCATCTGTGTCATTGTATCTTATCCTAATTAAGAATGCTGATTGCTAAATAATTGCTTTTTACCAGGGCATATATAGGAAAGAAAGCAGTTGTTTGAAGATTTAGGAAAATGACTAGCAGGCTTCTTTATTGACATTGTACTCTCAGGTTATATTTTTATATTCAAAACTATATTTGTTGATCTATTATATCCTGTGAAGACATAGCATCATAAATTGCCTTGAATTTATTTTAACTTCATATTTCAACATAAATAAATGGTTTATGAGTAGATGTTCTTAGTACTTCCTGGATAAACATCAGCAATTATTTGCACATTTTTAATATTTAAATAGTTTTCAAATTAAGGCTTTATAGTATACCTCTGGTTTTGTCTTATATTTTCATGAAAAGATATAACATTTCATTGTGTTGCATTTGAATGTAAAATCAGTGTTGGATTTGCATGTAAAATCAGTGTTGGATTTTAGTTTCATATTGCTCTTCTAGAATACACCAACATGCTTCAGGGCACACGATTTGGCCAGGTTATATCTAAAACTATATTTCTAAATGTTTAAATCTGTGCAATACTGGATATGTTTTGTATTTATTAAAAATAAATGAATTACTTACAAGAGCTGTAAAGGATTATCTGTTGATAGCTAAATTCAAGAAACCAAAAAAAAAAAGGAACTTTTGCAAAAATAATATCAATATAAATGGTTATATTTAAATGATTAATCATCAGGAACTGTGCAAGAGTCATAATTCTTTGTTATGACTCTCCTGTCTCTGCATTATATTGCCTTAGTAAATCTGTTCTTCCTTGTGGAAAATACAGATAACTGTCTTATATGCCTTACAAAAATACTTTTTAAAAATTTTTGTCAAATTTTCTCATTAGTAAAATGAGAATTAAATTATCCCAATTTATTAAATACTGTATTCAAGAAAAATTAACATTTGTATTGATTAGAAGTACTTTTATAAAAGCTGTTACAACTTTTACATCTTAAACACCTGATCGGTTTCTACATTGATACCTGACCAGGAAATGAAGGACACAGCTCTTTTGTACTTCTACAGAATTACCATCTTTAATAGACCTCAGAATTGCAATCTTAGTTAATAGCCTCCTATTACCCCAATATCATTTTTCAAAATCTCTTTTTGGGATAAAGTCGAAATTAACAGCAAATCTTGTTGTACACATAGACTCTCTTAATAATAGTTTCTGAGATTGAATATTATATCTATTACTATCATTTTATCTCTTTTCTGAATTGGTACTTCAGAATTTCTGTACATTGGAATGATGGGGTTAGTCTTAACATTCACCAACAGAATCCCTGAAGGTTAACTTAATTATGGATTTCAAATGTGTAAGGATTGAGGTCAGCTATTTTCCACCTAAAGTGAAAGAGAATAATAGGAATTTAATGGAAATGGAGGCAAGACACTATTATTAGATATCAAGAAAAAGTGCCTGTCTAAGGGCAACGTTTTCTTGCAAGAGACCTGCCTGGAAAGACTTTTAAAGAAGAATTGCTCATCCTTGGTTAGTAATTTACATTCAATAAACTAAATAAAGAGAGAGAAATCTCACATTTTTTGAGACTTTCTTAAACTTTAAATCACCCTAATCTGAGGCCGAAACACAGACAAAAGTATTAACAATGCTTTTAGTACTATATGCTTGCATCCAAATTCACATCTGCACTGATTGAAAACGGTCTGTTTGTAAAAATGTGTACTGCATCCTGAGCTAGATGCCAAAAAAGATGATATTTATCCACTTAAAGATCTAGTAGATAAATTATGATTCATCTAGTCCTTTAGATAGTGTAGTATAGGTGAATGGATTGCATCTTAAATTGATTTATATTATTTAATTAATGCTATCATGATACAGAAAATAGAGTTGTGGCAAGGTGCTGTGGGTGAATAACTGAACATGTGTGGAATGTGTGCAAATGGTAGTCACATTCCAGTCTAGTTTAAAACTCCTCTGATTTCATTCTAGAATTGTAACTTTTATTATTATATTAATTATCATGTTAATTATTTTTTATACTAATTATTTTAGATTGCACCTACATCTGACAATGACTTTGGACGATATAATTGCACAGCCACTAACCATATAGGAACGAGATTTCAAGAATATATTCTTGCTTTGGCTGGTACGTATGGCAATCATTTATGAAGTTTCACACAATATTTCTGTAAGTAAATTTTAAATTGATGAAATACAATGATATTAATCTAATTTTAAATGTTAACAAAGACTGTATTTTACATTTTTCATTATATGTATTTATTTATTTACATTGAATCACTGTGTATTATTACAGTATACCAAACGAATTTTCCCATCCTGAATACACTGTATATTGGTTCAATCAAAAACATTACTATACATATCATTAACAGATAATTTTGCATTTTTGTGTCCCATAAATATTTTTCTCCTTATTTTTTCCCCTTGATTCCCTCCCTCTCACCCTCCACCATTTCCCACCCTCTTCTCACACTGTTTCTAATATCCGGAGTTGTTCTCTAAGCCTTTACACCTTCCAATCTTTCCATTTCTGCCATAGAGTGCTGCCATTTGTTATACACTGACTGGGGACATACAGTGCCTCTCTTTCATGGCCTGGCTTGCTTTGCATAGCCGTAAATCTCCAATATTTGTCCAATTTCTATTGCATTTTAATAATACAGGTTACTATTCTAAAGAATGAGCCAGTGCTTAAAAACTTTGCATATTTGTATCTCACGGATGTACTGAGGACAGAGAAACAGGAGGTGGGGGGAGAAAGTACTCCTCTATAGGATGCCTTCATGGCTCAGTTCCTACTCCTCAATTGAGAAATTTCTCCACCCTGAGGATTTGGGGCACTCATCCATACACATGTACCTGACATGTTATCTTTTAAAACAACAAGGCTGGGACCAGCAGTTAGCGTAATGACTATGTCACTGGACTCCCACGTTTTTGACACTGGTTCACAACCCAGACCTGGTGGCTTAAAACTCGCACCGGGCACATGTGTGTGTGTGCCCAAGATCCCGAGAGGAGAATGGAGGAGAAGTGATTGCGGCGTGGCCATCCCTCCTGGGGAGTGATTTCTCGCGTTCTATCTCTCTATCTCTCTCTGTCTGTCTGGGGAGCGCACGCGCCCTATAGCAAAAAATCTCTAAAAAAATAAAAACAAGAACAAAAACAAAACCAACAAGGCTAAGTATCTAAGTACGGCTGGCCCTGTATGATCTGGCTTCTTTAACAACTAGGCTGTGGAGTGAAACCCAAGATTGATTTTAAATCCTGATTTTAATTTCTCCAACTTTATATGTGAGATATTGGTTAAAGAAGAAGGTAACATATGTCTTAAGGAATAAAGTTATATCTCAAGTAAATTAAGAATTTTGTCCCCTCCCCAAAAAACATTAAAAAATAGAAACACTCAGAGAAAATGAACTGTAATCTATTTTAAACTTCTAGATCTTTAAGTATAAACAATAAATATACTTAAAAGAAAAACAAAATTTTTTACATAATGTTTTGGAAATTTTTCATTTTGTATATATAAAAACATATATAAAAACATTCTAGAAATTTTTATAAGGTGAAATATATAGAAAAAATAACATTAAGAGTAAAAATTTATTTTAATGAGAAACCCAGCTATACATTTAGTTCTGCATATTTAGTTATATGTAAGCTTTTTATGTAAACTTTTTATAAATAAACATTACTGGATTTGATTTAAATTAACTTATACATATGAGATATATAAAAACATTCTAGAAATTTTTATAAGGTGAAATATATAGAAAAAATAACATTAAGAGTAAAAATTTATTTTAATGAGAAACCCAGCTATACATTTAGTTCTGCATATTTAGTTATATGTAAGCTTTTTATGTAAACTTTTTATAAATAAACATTACTGGATTTGATTTAAATTAACTTATACATATGAGAGTGTGTATATGTGTAATATAACATATATATTACTATATACAATAATATATATAATATGTATTAAAATGTAGAATTTTTTATATGTTTTACAACACTGAGTAAGATTATGAAAGTACATTTTTTTCATCTATAGTTTTTTTTTGTTTTTGTATATATCAAATGGAAAATGTGATTTAGAATCTTTTAATATTAAGTAATGGGGACCAGCAGGTGATGTGGTGGTTAAGGACATTCCCACATGGCAGACCATTGTTCAGGTCCCAAACCTGGTAGCTTGCTTTCTCACTTTCTCTCTCTCTCTCTGTGTCTCTCTCTGGTCAAATTAAAAATAAAAATGAATGAATAAATAAAGTTAAATAAATAATTCTTAAAAAAAAATAAAGAAGAAGAAGAAGAAGAAGGAAAGAATGAAACATACCAGGTGGTGCCCACAATCCCCAAATAAGTGAAAGATGGAGAAAAAGGGATTGTTGTGTGGTGATCCTGTCCCATGGAGGACACTTCCTCCTCTCCCTCTATTTATCACTCTCTGGCAAGCGTATTCACCCTCTAGAAAAAGAAAAGAAGGAAGAAAGGGAGAAAAGAGAGAGGGAGGGAGGAAAGAAGGGAGGGAGAGAGAGAGAAAGAGAGAATATATATACACACACACACACCGACACACACACACACACATATATATATATTCTTGAAAATAATATCACTATTTAGAAACATCATAAAGAAAATTTTAAAAAGTTTACCAAGTTTACATACCCTAGTTGTTATGCAACCTGGAAAGTCTGTTACTCTCCAATTCAAGGTTTAATGCAGTGCAGGAGGAGGTAGAGAAAAAACTTTTGTAGAAGAAAGTGAGGGAAGGAGGCAGGGAAGAAAAAACTAAAATAACTGGGAGTTAAGATAAGAGGAAGAGAAGGAGCAATGAATGAAGGAGGAAGGAAAGTAAACTAATATTTATTGTCTTATCATGAAGTCATTAGAAAAGTAATCGCAATGAAAATCGTAGAAAGTAGACTCTTTGCATTTAGGAATATGAATAAACCATTGGATAAGGAGTTAAATTATAGGAAAATCAAGTGTGCTAAGTCACTTTAAAATTCATTGATAATAAATTGAATTGATAAGAAAAGCAATGTATTAATAAGAAAAGCATTAAGTACTCATATTAATTGCAAACCATAGGAAATTAGACAAACTTCCTTGAAATTAGTATAAACTTTTAACAAATAACTAGATATAGGCTCAATATATGTATATATAATGGTTTTAATATTGATAAATTATTATATCCATCTTTAAAATAAAAGAATAATATAGTTTTCTGTTCCTTGCAGTATTATAGCCAGGCTTTATTTTTGTTACAGTAAAAGAGTATGTAAACCTGGAAAAATTTTGAAGCACATACTTTTCTATTGAAGTAATTTTTTAATCCCATTAAGTTTATATGAAATTTTTAATACTTGTGCACTTTTATATCTCAGAATACTTAGTGTAACATTTTTTATTGGAAAATATGTTTGGGGCTTATCCTTGTAATGAAGATAAATTAGCTGGATTCCCTCTGCCCAACAATTAAAAATTAGAAATTTTAATTTAACAGAATATTTTTTGAATTATCTTAAACACTACAATTCTCCTTATATTTTAAAGTTTATATAATTCTAAACTAGAATCTGTTTCCTAAAAAAAAATTCTATTGTTGGGATCAGCAGTTAGCATAATGGCTATGTCGCTGGACTCCCATGTAGCCAACTGCATTTCAAGTCCCGGACCTGGTGGCTAAAAAAACTCACACTGGGCGCGTGTGTGTGCGTACCCAAGATCCCGAGACAAGAATGGAGAAGAAGGGATTGCGACATGGCCATCCTCGCTGGGGGCGATTTCTCACTTTCTGTCTGTCTCTGTCTGGTAAGCACATGCGCCCTATAGCAAAAATCTCTCCAAAAATAAAAATTCTATTGAAATTTTAATAGAGATGAAATAAAGACTGAGCTTTTATGAGAAACATACATTACACACACACACACACACACACACACACACACACACGTAATTTATTGATGAAAGTCCTTTATTTAATACTAATATTTTGTACAACATATAATATTTCCTGCAGAATCCAAACACTTAGAATGTAATGTGATTTTTAAATAAAATACAAGCGCAATGTAGAAATTTAAATATATTAAAATACACATAAGTATCACAGTTTAATATTTCATTGGCCTGTTTGACCTAGTAAAAGGTCAAAATTATTTGACATATGGTAATTTACATTCTAACAGATTACTTTCAAAAGGCAATAAATCAGGAGCAAAATTTTAGCATGAAATTAGCTGCTATACAGTCAGTAAAAATTTTAAGGAAGATACACCTTTTTAACATTCTTGTTTCAAAGATCTTTTATTCTTTCCTCCTCTCTTCATTTCTCCAATTTTCTCTCTTGAACAATTAAGCCCTGTATCCAAGCAAGATAGGCACCTGTGTGGGGTGGGATGGAGCACAGCAGCAGCCTGGCATGGGGTGTTGGTGTCTGAGCCGGATGAATAGAATGGAGAGAGCTTCAAGGATACAATGCGGTATATTGGAATTAGGGTGAAAAGGGTGTCCGTGTGCCAAGACAGTAATAGCAGCCCAAGAAAGTAAAAGGGTACCACATGTCTGCACTCTATGGCAGAACTGGAAAGATTGGACAGTATGAAAGCATGGAGAGCAACTGTGGACACTACAGACGGTGTGGAGGGCAGCGGGCAATGTGTGTGGGGGGAATCAAGGGCTAAGAAAAAAAAAAAAAAAAAAACCTCTCAAGAAATGAGGGATTGTTTGTTGATGATAATGTGTATGGCGAAATCTTGCGCTGAACCAGTATGCTATGTATTCATGCTGGGAAAGTTCATTTTGTGTGTTGTAAAGATGTGTAGTGATTAAATATACTAATAATTTTTTTTTTTTAAAAAAAGGATACAGAGGAATAGATGGTTGATTCCTCTAAGGGAATTGATGACTTTAATGCATTTATTTAGTGAAATCGATAATAGTTATCTTACTTTTGGGGAAGAGTGCCCCATAGAGAAAGGGCAAGAAACTAAAATGATTCTAATGTTAATGATTGGTACTAGAGATTATTGATAGGAGTTTGGGTTTTAATGCATATAGATGAATGGACAGAAGCAAAGAGTAAAGGGGTGTGCATGTGTT